GTGTTTAAACCTTTGGGGAAAAAACTTATTTTGGATCAAAAACTTAAATACATTTTATGCTACATGTAACTCATGGGTTCAAATCCATAAACCTAGGTAACTGGTCAGCGTATTTTATATAGATGTAAGCTGAATGGCCTTCACACACTGAACATGCCATATTTCAGACTGTGACCACAAAATGTATAGAGATTAATCTTTGTAGTCATTTATATTCATGAAGGCTACAACATATATCACTGGGAAATGAGTCAAGTTGATCTTTTTTAGTTTAATTGGAAATTGTCTAATAAAATGCAGTCATCAAATTGGCCAGTAGCCGTTAGCAGATGAAATTGTTTATTATGTTTTTTTTGCAACTGAAATCTGTGTTTATAATTATGACATGCCTTGCATATTATGAGTAACTGTGTACATGAACCCTATATGATTATATTTGAAAATTATCTGTAAAAATATTCCTTTCACAATCTTAATGAAATTTTAAGCTTTATAGCCCATCCCTTGAGTACATTAGATTTCATTCAGCAATCGCAGGCCTTCCATTTCCATCTAATTGACAGTCCAATGCATATCCTATGACAGCGATAGTTATTGGTGACAAGCTAGCAATGTTTACATGCATTTTGAGCAAGTGTTTTTTTATTATTGTAGAAAATTACTTTTCTTTGTTTTGTGGATATCACAATCATGCATATTAAGATGAACTACATCTAATCAAGTAACAAATGATTTAGAACCATGCAAAAGGAGAAATTTTTAGTCCAAATAAAAATTCTGTATAAGGTAGAGAAAGTCCATGTCCCAACTTAATGTTCATCACTTATCAAAACTTCAAAATTGTTTATTATTTTACTACTGCAAATAGCTTCATCAATGAAAAATGTTTTACTTTATAAATATCTAACATGTGTATCTTTATGTTCTTTTATTTTCATTCCAAACATTCACCACAGGTCTGTCATAATAAACATACCATGCTTTTCAATTCCTGAAGATACAGGTGTTTATAGCTGATAAGGATTTAAATTGCTCTATTGCCTAATGTAGACCTACAACCTATCATTTTTTTATGACTTAGAAGAATAATTTCAAACTGATGATATAAATGGTTTTTTATGCCTTTATACATTTGAAATCGACTGGACTTCCCTAACTTTAAGATATTTTCAAATAGGTTTCACCAACTTAAATAAAATGTTTGGATCTAGCTAACTTTATGTGTAAAAGTAAACACCTGTACAATCCTTTGCATCTGAAATAGAAATCCATTAATAATGTAACAATGGTCACACTTAATATACACGTACCATACCATTGTGATCTTTGCACAGCAACATACCCAGTCAACAACAATTTTCAAACAGGGCCATATTCAAAATTTGTTAATTACTTAAATGCAATAGAAAAGTTAGTTGAGCAATCTACAATTACAATTTTCCTGATTAGTCATAAAGTCTTAGCAATTCCCATCCTGAAATCTTGCCTTTCAGTATGTCGAAGGTTTTCTGATAGTTTGAATGTAGATTAGAAACATTCCATTGAACAATCATTGTGTAGGGCATGACAACTATACATAGATTACAAGATGGCCATATGCTAACTCATCACTATTTCAACACTTAATTTCCATTTGTCACAAAGAACTGAATAATCAACTTCATAAAACATCCAGAGGAAAAAGCTCACAAGGCCTGTATGGCTCAAATAGATATATCAGCTTTCACTTCAAAACATTTTTATTCCTAATTATATTATTACACTTTTTTTTAAAAGAAGAGGAGTTTCAAAGCTTCAAACAAAAATTTGAACAAAATCCTAAAGTCATTTATAGAAATGTAGGCTGAGTTCAACCTTCTGGCCCCATCCTCTGAGGGTCAGAAACTCCGTTTGTATTTTTTGAATCACCACATGGCAATGCTTCCAGTCTTTGATTGAAACTCAATTGATGACAAAGAAAAAGTCCTTTTGAAAAAAGTTCTTGGCACTACAGCATAAGCTCATCCTTCTGACCAGGTGAGCTAACAATATGGTACTGTTCTATTGTTTTTACTTGTTTTAAGATATATATTTATACAGTCGAATGAGAAAATGGACATTTCGTATTGAGTGAAACAGTGACCAGTTAACGATCACAGCACAAATACATCTTACTGAAGGAAGTGGTAGCCACAACGGATTCACATGAAGTCACAATAATACAAGTGTTTCCAAATATTTTAATTACCAGTAATGCATACACGGAAAAATTTGCTAAAGATTTTTTATCATTAAATCAAACTTTTCATTTTTGCCCAAAGTTAAATTTTGCTCTGAAATATGTCACTGTATACATTTCATGTAAAAGGTTAAGCCTTTTTATTTTCACTTTAATGGCAAAAGTTGAAATATGGTGAATATTACACAATGCAGATCTAGATATGAATGACCACCAAAGCCTTCTATACATATAATTAACATGGTAATATTTTACACTTAAACCTCAGCAGTAAATCAGCATTTCATCTCATCATGATTCTTAAAACTGTCGAAATCACAATCCTTTAAAGCTGAAGTAGCCAGAAGATTATCAGCGGTCAGATATTACTTCAATGCAATTTTCTTACAGGTTCCAACAAGGGCTACAGGATCACATTGCTGTGAGAAATTTCCCTATCTAAAGCAGTAACGTTTTCACTGACTCAGTATTCGCCCATTCTAATGTAACTGTTATTAGACTGATGGTAGCTTGTTTATTTGTAATATGGTTCTGTTTTAAGAGTAAAGTGCACATTATTTTCTATATAAAATACCAGTAGTAAATGTTGCTGATACGTGTTGATGGTTCACACATATGCTGTTAGAGTTCCAGTTGCCGCTAATTTTGCAGTCCATCTAAGTAATGTAAATACATGAAGCAGAAGCTTGTGTCCTATTGAACATTATAGTTTTCATGCAGTACATCTAATTTGACAGGCGTGACTTGAGAAATATACTGGTGAGTTTACTAAAGTTGGATTACCTTTACACCCTTTGTTTGAAGAAGGTATTATACGAAGAAATGGGAAAAAAAATGAAAAAGAAAACGAAGTTAACAAAGATATTTTCAAAATATGGATGGAAAAAAAGTTAAAGATACACGAACACTTTACACAAAAAACAGCACATATCACAAACAAACAAACATTTAAAGACCTTCTTGTATCTAATGAAACTGATCCCCCATATCCCCTCGACTTAGAGATTTTCTATAATGTTATACGATTTTGTTTCTATAACCAATAAGTTATCCCTATCATTCAAAAACATATGTTATATCACAAGGGAAGGTGAAGCATTCTCTATTTTCTATTTGAAGAAATCCAGAGATGAAAAAACATCTCAGCCAAAATGCCATTTTAGATTGAAATTTCCATCTTGAGTTTTTTTTATTTTTCTTTGTCATCAGTGATATTTAAGGTTATATTTTCTCTTTTTGTCCCAAATGACATGTATATTTAAGGTTCTTCTACGAGAAGCCTGCGATTTCTGATTATTATGATTGATTTCCTAGGACAGTGCTATTCTATCACCATGCTGTTATAGCACCCAAAACATGGTATCCATGAAAACCACACCAAACAACAATGGAAACGCAACAATTTATATTGTACATCAAAAGCGTGTTAAGCATGAACTAGCCTTATGTTTATTTAATCTTAAAAGCTCCGCAACCCAAAGAGTAAAACTCCAATCTGTTGCTTCTTACTTTCAGACACCGATCGTTTGACCACGGATACTTCTATCTGACTAGCATCATTGCACGTTCCCCAACATAAGCAGTCAGGAGTTTGCTTGCACAGGCAAGCTGAAAAGGCCATTTGTTAATAACAATCACTGATAAATCTCATTCTACAAACTGTCATTTGCCTATCAAACCTGTAAGAATCTATGAAAAAACATTTCTGATATCTGATGTCAATAAAACATCATTATTATAACCAACAACATAACACTACAACAAACAGATTTGTCTGTAATGGAAAACATATAGGTAAGTCTGCATTCTCGCAAATAAGATGACAACCACTGACATCTTTTTTAGTAATGGCACCACCTGTTCAAAACAATAGTATGACCAGCAAGGAAACTTTCCATTAGTAGGATGTAAATATCATAGGCTCTACTATGGTGTCCTATTTAGTTTCTTTAGTATTAAGTAACTTTTAAAATTTTTAAACATTTTATTGACATGCAACAGAATTGGACAACAACCAAAGAATATTGAAGTTCTCCCTAAAAACAGTAACATACACAATAACATGGATATAATATAACACATAATATTTAACAATTTAAAATGTGAAAAAGGGAGACAACTCCAATAGAGTAAGTCTTAAATAAATTTCTGTTTTATTATACTTTCAAAAGAAAACTAAAAAGCATTCAAAGTGAATAAAAAAATGCATAGACATCTGATAATATTAAAATTCATCATCCCATCAGATACAGTTCAAAAAGTCCAATTCATCATCAAAGGCCATGCATTGATGAAGTTTAGATATGTAAGTTGAAAGTTAAAGAGAAATTCTGAAATATTAACAGAAATGAATTCACAATATTTACATGTAGGTCCTAATTTGTCTTCCTGGCAACACTTTCCTTTGTTTCCACTTTTCCATTAAATTAAATTAAGGTACTAATCAATTATCAGGCAAAATTGTCTTGGTATACATACCATTTTCATAAGTAAAATGAGAATGAAAAGTTCTCATAAACTTCGAAAAACAGTTATTGTTATTTTTTTTCCAAATAACAAAGTAATCTGTCATGGTAACAAGACAGAACGTTTTTGCCAGGGAAACAATCGCAGACATTTAAGAGGACAAATTTGGAACACATTTTATAGGTTTTTTTTTACATAACAAACGATCAGATCACAAAACTATCTAACAATGTTATAAAATTGAACCTAATATGCTAAACAGCTGTTTACAGCTTCATATTATATATATGATTTTACCACATAAGGTGATACTTACATAAAAATTGTGAATTGAGCGTGAGGAGAACCTGGTCTGGCTGGCCTATACAGGTAGCATTTTGCCAGTTGATCAGTGTGTTCCCAGCACTGTTGTTGAAAGTGACTAGATACTCTACAAATGGGGCCAACGAACACTGACACACCCAATCATTGAAAGCAACATTTCTGGAAAGAGGAAATCATTTATTGGTAACATTACTTATCAGTGACATTATCAAAGCAGACCTTATTGATAAGTATCTTTTTACCATAATTATCATGTAATGTTCCTTGGAAGACAACATATTAAGATCTCTGACTCCAAGGCGAGGGATTGGTTTATACCGCACCTACTGTTATTTCTACAGCTAACAGATATGGGTGGGCTTATTACCAGGCATGTGCTTATTACAGAATAAATATGGTTAACTTATAAGAACCATTTCTATACACAAATGAATATGAAATTTTACTTCTGGTTCGCCACATCATAACCACTGAAATGGTTTGAATTGACAAACACTTGATCATCAAAAATAGGTTGCATAGTAAGCAACATCTATCAACTTAGTAAGTTATAATGATAAAACATTCATCAAATATTTTACGTATAATTTGACAGATTTAATAGCATCATTTTTTATAAATATATAAGAACTCATTACACTTAGAGTGATACCTACAGACTAGTCAAGGAGGTGTGCATGTCCCGGAACATGGAAGCATTTAGAAACACCAGTTTGTTGTTGCTTATATCACTGAAACAGAAAGTAAATCATGTCACTTTTTTAGTTTCTTTAATTGTCAAACCAAAGAAGTGAAACTTGTTGATAACAGGAGTTACCACGGCCATTTTCATCTTGACCTCTTATTGTGACCATGACCTTGAGGGTACAGATTTGATTAAATGGTATCAATAAAGTTCAGTAAGGTAATCTTATTGTGGTACCAGTCTGTGTGGAGGATTTTTAGAACTGGTTCCATATATATTATAAAGGTGGCAATTCTTGCATGATTGTTGAATTTCGACAGCAAAATAAATTTCATGTGAAATTTTTGTCCAGTGTAGATAACAAATTTTAATGTTCCATCTACACACTGATTCTTGGAGTCCAAGTGTATTAAGGACATTGAAAATTTACCTATTTGAATAAAAACTATAATTCAACTTAAACAATGTGACTTTCATAAACCTATGCTGTTGATAGTTTGTCAGACAAGGTGGAATCTGATAGAGTCTGTTTTGTAAATGTCATATCTTTACTTCGTATTTCTGCATCACATATTGTTAAAAATCTATCAAAATTCACCTGAATTACAAAAAATTACAATTAATCACAAAGATTTCCAGAAAACTTTATTTCGTGAACTTTCCTCTTTAGACAAATCGGCGTGATCATGATATCACGAATGATGATCTAGAAATGACTTTAAATATGCGAACAATGGGCTATTAGATATATAGACTCTGACACTGGTAATGAAATCAGTATGAGTGTGATTTACAGTAGAACAATACTCACAGGTACTGCAGTGATGTTAGGCCATAGAAAGTGTCCACTTCTAAGGACTGTATCTGGTTAGAACTAGCATCTCTGAAATCACAAGTGTTATAGATCCATTTAAGGCAAGGATAAATGTGCTATTGTACAACGTCATGCGACTTTCATATACATTATTGTAAAAACACATAAGTAATATTTCCATGCAACAAACTTATCATGTCGAGTTATAAGAGAGACAATCATTTATACATGAACACAAATAACATTATAATTCCTTATTCTTGCTTCAGATGTTTTTTATAAAGAATTACGTCATCAACAAGACAAAGAAACAGGAATACTGAAGGTGGAATAAAAAACTTATAATAATGATACGGAAAGCTACCTTTGTATCCTATCAATCAGTACAGTTAAATTATTTTGATGCATTGAAATAGGAAAATCCATTCTTCTTCAAGTGAATCTATAGCGAAATAAATGTATATCAAGCTTTGTCATGTTTGACTAAAACAGGACCACATTATGCAGTGAACAAACTTTATCACACTGGGCCATATCTCTGTTTTCATTTGAAGTAAGTTTTGAAAACATAGCTAAAATATCAACCAAGTTATAGGACTTTCAAAACAGAAATGTATGGATGCCCCGCTGGCCATTTGGCAACACTATATCACAACGTTTTTATCAGAGTTTTAAAATTGTGTGTGTAACTATTAAAACACAAGGTATGAAACCATCAATGTAAACAGAACAGTGTCTAGAATATCTGTAGCTTATCGACGGGATCTTAATCATTCTGAGCCTTTATTAATCGGTTCAAACCACTGGGTGCTATTCAACATGCAAAACCATTAGAGACATCAATGTTAGCATACATTGTCAATACACTGCAAAATATCATTCAACATTTTCTGAACAGAAAGAATTTCGGTTATGCCATATGAAGTATTTGGTCAGTCAAACTACTGTGCGATGTTGGTATAACAGATTTGAGGGGTGTACATTTATCTTAGATTTATATAGAGAAGGAGGTGCTGGAAGTGAATGATTTCAAAGGATTGACTTACACAAAACCTTTCCAGAAATTACATGTCTAACACTAAATTGCTGCTTTTGTTCTTTGGATGATGTCACTATACTTCCCGTATTGGTGACAACAAAAATCCCACAGAGTTGGTGAAGTTAATGTCATTAGTTTCACAGATTAATGATACACTTAATCATAAACTGGGAAAAATAAGTCAGTGTACTATATTAAAACAATTTTCAGTATTAAAATAAATGAAGGGAATTGATATACAAGAGGTTGAAAGGCCTGTATCACTCACCAGTTATGAAATGGTATTTGCCAAAATGCATTCCAGAATTTTGAATGCTTATGTCAAAATTTTAAATTTTAAATTCCTCTAACTTCTGAATTTTTTCTAACTATCCAAATTATTTACTTTGAAGATTATGTTATATCTTCATCCCTTACAGTAATTATGGCTTTTAGGCCATATGATCAAAGTGACCTCAAATGTGGGATAATACTTTGAAAAAACATATATTTGCATTATCTAATCATTTTTCATTCATCAACAGAGGAATTATTCATACTTTATACATTTATTAAAATTTTTGACAAGAAAAAGCCGACCCAAGACGACGGATGTCATGCCATTATGTGCCTGTTATCAGATTTCTCATCCATGATGCTGTATCACTACAAATGTTATTTGTGTCAAGTACAGAATAGATTGCGGAGTGGATCGCCTCCTTACTTACAGCACAGTTAGATTGGGATTGGAGGAAAAAGCATCATTGGGAATAAAACTTATATTATTCCCACGCAGGTACCTGTAAATAAAGAATTGATGGCAACACAGTCAGAGTGTGGCCAATAGCAACCTTCTACTTCAGACAAATCTGTCTGTGCCCGAAATGCCTGCACAGGGCACATGGACTGAGTACTACTATATAGCTATCATACACATCTACAATATGTCTATATTGCACACTATATATATATATATCACACATAGATGTCACATACATCCACCAAGGATACAAGCTTCAACTGATAATTTTTAACGAATTCGTAAAATAAGTTTCATCCAATGTCATACTGTGCCTACTACATGTAACAGTACCTTAACTACATGGTATGATGTCATACAAAATTATACTCATAATACTGAAATTTAAGATTTTTTTAAAATATCAGTTGAAGCATGCAATTCAGAGAGCTAACAGCCAAACACAGGTTAATCATGATGAAAGGCTAGAATATTTTCTTTCAAGGAAAAAAGTTTAAACAAACAAATATCGAAAATAAATGAATTTCACATTTGTTTCATGAAAACTTATACAACACATTCCAGTTACAAATCAAATTTATTTCAAGCATAACCATTTCTCATTTTTCAATTGAATTGTGGTGATAATGGTGTTACGGTGTTTTTATATAAGAAATCTACTCTATGGTAAACACCTATACACCATCATCATACTGCAGAGCATGCTGTCCTGTTGTCACAGGTACAACATTAATGTATTCTAGGATGCAAAGTTGGGTATATATAATCACACACAGACCCACAGCCCTTGGATATGATCACACAAGGAACAAGAAAGTTCTAGGATATTTGACCTTCTTTTTCTACAAGGTCATCAGGAATTCTAGTCAAAACTAATAAAATACAACATATACTAGAACATTATCTAGACTCAATTGATCAGTAAGCAGTCAAACGCCTTTTTTTATTAAAAGGATCATCAGATATCTTATATCAGATTCGGAAATTTTGAATGAAAGAGTTCTTCAAGACTGGAACAAATTTTTTTGAAAGGAGTATGCATTTTATTTCCTTACTTCTGCTAATTACCAAATGCCACATATACACATACTTACATATACATATATGGCTTCTATGCTAACAATATTTAAATTAGAATGACGACTTCATGCCCTGTCACACAGCTGTTTATAAGAGCCCACTACCACAATGATGTTACTATGTGTGACTGTACTTACAAATTCTCCAGCAGCATCAGGTTGGTGAACAGATAAGGTGGAAGACTGGTGAGATTCATCTTGTTTATATACCTGTAATGTACAATACAAGTTCTGTTTTATTGACAGGATTTCCACAATTAAATATTGACTTTTTTAAATATCAAATTTTTTTTTTTAAAGGAAATAAAGACCCTATAAAATGCAATAATAATTCATCTTACAACTTTATTGAATAGAAGGCAAATATGAAGGTACCAGTTACACATTTTTTTTACACGATTAATCTTTGTGTATTGTGAATTGAAGACTACACCTTTGTTATAAATACATGTACTACAATTGATCAAAACGTATTGTCATCAAAACAAATTTTAAAAGGAATGCAGATAGTTTAATTTCTTACAAGGTTGTACTGTTGATAAATGTGCCAATTAATGTGCAGATTTTGATATCTGATGACTATCACTGATGGATAAACAATAAGTTATTAATTAAATACGATAAGACTACCATAGACTGCTTTACAAAGAATTCCTGTGCATAATATGGCATGCAGTTTTATTTGATTGACAAGACCAAATGCAGAAGTTCACATAACAACACATATCTTTGAACTTTAAGTACTAAGGGTAGACAATAATGAGAACTTTATGGCAATAAATATTTTCTAACATTAACACTAACTATAACGTAATAAAAAAAACCACACCATGGTACCCACAATACCAGCCTTTATGGTAAATAGACTTGTAAAATGTATACCGTACCAAGGTCATTTATCTACATATATGGCTGTCTTGTTTACACATTATTACAAAATTTGTTTTGTTCCCAATATGATTTCAATTTAGTCATGCTATTTAAATTCCTACTCTAGTTCAATGAGGTTTGGTATTTGCTATAGATCATTGAACACACAGATCTTTAGCCCACATATTCAATCTGATTACAGCTGGGATACTTTGTGTGTCAAACTTCACATTTCTTCTTAGTTAAAACAACATGTTAAAAATTTTGAAAAACTTTACCACTTGCTTACACAAAAACGTTGTGAACTAGCTACCTGGACATTTAAATTTTTAAACTCTATAATCAAAATTCAATGAGTATTCTTCTTTGAGATACACTATACTAACATTTCAATCCAGCTATTAAAATCCACACATGTTTCTGTTTGTGAAGACTTATTTCTAGCTTCTTACTTCATGGTTCATCATATTGTACAAGAACAGAACTTTTATGATAACATACTGTTGTATTTAGTACAAAATTTGTTTTGCCTTCAAATATATCAGATAACAAAAGGTATGAAGACATAATGTGGTGACTACAGTTACTTATTTAGACAAAATACCCAATTATTGAAAAAATTAAAAATTGTACCCTAGTATCAATATAATCAATACATCAATCAATCAATACATTTCTTTGTCAAAATATTTATCGTTTTCTTCTACGATAGAAGGGAAAGACAGGAAAATTGTTTAGCACATGTATGAATGCAATGCTGATAAATCATCATGGTTTTAGACATTACACATGTACATATCTTAATGATATCTCTGAAAACCAGCTTAAAAAAAAAGATAAAATCCTTTTCATTTTATTATTTTTTCTCCCCTTTTATTTTTTTGAAATAGTGAAACTCTGCGAAAAAAACACTCAAATCCAAATACTGGTATGTAACAAATTAATAACTATCTTATACATAAATAAGTGTAAAAGTTGTAGAGAAAGGTTGATAGCAATTGTATGAAAAGGTACTTTTAAATAAGGAATTGGAAAGAACTCTTCAAATAGTCTTAAATTGAAGAAACAAATCATGACATTCTCATTTACACCAAGATTCTAAGGGAATCATTCTTTCAAAAACAGTTACAGTGAAAAATGATTTTTTTATCTGACTCACCATCGCATCCATACCAAAATTAGGGGAGATAACTACCATTGAAAAAGTTGACATCAAAATTGAAAAAAAAAGTTTCAAAGATATTAACTGAAGTGGTCTGGTTATATAAATGTGGCATAAGATTGCATAACCATGAAGTATTTCCTGCTAAAATATTAACCAGTCCAGTATTTCGTTATTGCATATTTAATCAGTAAAAAGTTATTTTAGCACTTTTTTCACTTTAAGTATTGTACTAAAATGTTTGGCTTTCTGTCACCTTTAACTGTGGTTTCTTTACATTATCTATTTATCAAATATTGTGGACAAGCGAAATTATCAGTGCTAATTTTGACAGAAAAGTGATGTGCTAAAATTTTGTTAAATATCTTTGTCCAAATGACATGCATTTCACATAAACTGAATCCACAAGGGCAGAAAGAACATACACACTTAAAAAAGTTTACTTACAATGTGGTGATACTACTAGATGAGGTGAACATTAGCCTTTCAAACGATGTCACAGGATTATCTGACAAGTCTCTGTGAAATAAAAATGGCAAAGGTTAATTAATCATTTAACATCTATAATATCAGTTATAAAGGTTAATTAATCATTTAACATTTATAATATCAGTTATAAAGATTAATTAATCACTTAACATCTATAATATCAGTTATAAAGGTTAATTAATCATTTAACATCTATAATATCAGTTATAAAGGTTAATTAATCATTTAACATCTACAATATCAGTTATAAAGGTTAATTAATCATTTAACATCTATAATATCAGTTATAAAGGTTAATTAATCATTTAACATTTATAATATCAGTTATAAAGATTAATTAATCACTTAACATCTACAATATCAGTTATAAAGGTTAATTAATCATTTAACATCTATAATATCAGTTATAAAGGTTAATTAATCATTTAACATCTATAATATCAGTTATAAAGGTTAATTAATCATTTAACATCTATAATATCAGTTATAAAGGTTAATTAATCATTTAACATCTATAATATCAGTTATAAAGGTTAATTAATCATTTAACATCTATAATATCAGTTATAAAGGTTAATTAATCATTTAACATCTATAATATCAGTTATAAAGGTTAATTAATCATTTAACATTTATAATATCAGTTATAAAGATTAATTAATCACTTAACATCTACAATATCAGTTATAAAGGTTAATTAATCATTTAACATCTATAATATCAGTTATAAAGATTAATTAATCACTTAACATCTACAATATCAGTTATAAAGGTTAATTAATCATTTAACATCTATAATATCAGTTATAAAGATTAATTAATCACTTAACATCTACAATAGCAGTTATAAAGGTTAATTAATCATTTAACATCTATAATATCAGTTATAAAGATTAATTAATCACTTAACATCTACAATATCAGTTATAAAGGTTAATTAATCATTTAACATCTATAATATCAGTTATAAAGATTAATTAATCACTTAACATCTACAATATCAGTTATAAAGGTTAATTAATCATTTAACATCTACAATATCAGTTATAAAGATTAATTAATCACTTAACATCTACAATAACAGTTACATATTTGTAAATGTGATTTAATCATGAAATATTTGTAAAGAAAAATGTCTGACACTTGTACCTGAATATTCATTACATGCATCAACAAGTAGTTTTCTTTGTAAAATATCTTTGAATTTCATTCAACACAAAAATTATTCTGGCAATATATAATACCTTTACAGGTATAAAACACCGAGGCTACAGAATCAAAGGTTATTAAATTCATTGAAAAATCATGAAAATCTTGACACTTCCTTACAATCCTCCTACTAAACTGAATTCATTGTGAAAATTGATTTTAAAGCAATGTTTGATATGTGGACTTACAATGTGATGAGTGATGGAACTTCAAATGATTTATCCTTAAACTTGGTTATCAAATTCCCTGCAAGGCTCCTGAAAAAGTCACATCCAAAAACATAAATAATACTTGTTGGTCTCATAGCAACACATACGCATGACAGTTTTTAAAGATGGCTGCATTTTTTATAGAATATGACAAACGCTTGGTAAGTCGATAGAATATTTCCACCAATGAGAAAGCTAGGATTGGTAGTAACAGTCAGTTTGAAAGGCTGTGTAAAGGCATATACACTGGACAAAATAAGTTAAGGATCATAAATTGTGACCATAATATCTTTAAAAATTCAAATCATGTATTGCCGGTAATTGCACTCGTAGTTTCTCCAATATGTACCTAAAGTCATGTCAAAGGTGAAAGCACGTGCATCTGAAGGTCTTGCCGTTCCGCTCTAGTTAACTATGGTGGTGTGAAAAACTGACTGGTCTATTACTACAGAGGAATCTTGCAGGTTTTGATTCTGTTACTTCTAAGCTAAAAAAAGTTGAATTTGGAAACATTTAATCAATTTGTAACGAAAACTTGAAAAACTAATCATGCGAAGACATTTAAATGATATGGAAGCCGCGCGAGCTATAGGGCTCCTTCAAGCTGGTCAAACTCAACGAAATGTGGCGGCACAGCTTCATGTTTCTCAGAGCGTGATTAGTAGGCTATGGAATCGCTATCAACAGACAAATAACGTCCGTCAACGCCCCAGATCTGGATGACCACGCTGTACGACAGCCCGACAGGACAGATTCATTTGCATCACGGCACGACGTCAGTGGTTTTTGAGTGCTCCTGTCTTGAATCTTCAGTTTCAGCGTGCTACAAATCTAAGGATTTCATCCCAGACAATCAGAAACAGACTCCATGCCTCTAATTTACGAGCTAGAAGACCAGCAGTCCGACCAATTTTATCCAGAGGTCATCGACAATCCAGACATCAATGGGCCACTCATCATTTGAATTGGCAATTACGTCATTGGAGAAATATTATGTTCACAGATGAGTCTATGTTTTGTGTTGACTTCCATGACGGTAGGAGGAGGGTATGGAGAACCCAAGGAGAGCGCTATGCAGACTGCTGTGTTGTCCAGCATGATCGCTTTGGTGGTGGGTCAGTGATGGTTTGGGCAGGGATCAGTGTTGACTTCCATACAGACCTCTACATCATAGACAATGGATCTTTAACAGCTGTTCGATACAGGGACGAGATTCTACACCCTATAGTAAGGCCCATTGCAGGAGTTGTTGGCCATGATTTTATTCTGATGGATGATAATGCTCGTCCTCACCGTGCTCGTGTGGTCAACGACTATCTTCAACGTGAAGCAATCGTTCGCATGGACTGGCCAAGTCGTTCTCCTGATCTGAACCCTATCGAGCATGCTTGGGACACCTTGCAACGCCGGGTTTCAGCTCGACCTAATCCGCCACAGAACCGCCAACAGCTTATGATTGCTCTGCAAGAGGAATGGCAGCGCATCCCACAGATCAGCCACCGACGACTAATAAGGAGCATGTGCAGATGTTGCAGGGCAGTTATTGATGTCAACGGAGGTCATACTGCCTATTAAACTGCCAATTGCAGTTTGATGAGTTTTCCTTGTCTACATGATTAACTTGCTCTACTTCCTCTTACACTTTGATTTCAAGGGTGCTGTTACTCAGGGTTATCTGCTCTTGGTAGCAATTACCACAAATGAATTTGTTTTGTGTAATTAAAGACTAAAATGAATGTTCTGTCATTAAAATTTAAAATATAATCATATTATTATTTGTATGTAAAACTGCACTGTTTCAAGTTTATGATCCTTAACTTATTTTGTTCAGTATATATGTAACAGTGACACAAAGAACAGATTTTGACTCAATTCAACATCAAAACTCAAATGATGATTTTAAAATGATCTTGATCTTAAAGATGTATTTTATTGCTGACTACATTAAGAGTTCTGTTTTTGTTGTCTATGTAATCACACTTGACCTGTACATGGTTATCTTATATGATAATGAGAATTTATTTCTATAACTGCACTTACAATGCCTGCAGGTTCGTCGTAGGTGTGAAAGTTGTGGCATCGATGTCTGTAATTCTATTGTATGACAAATCCCTGAAAGGAAATTATAATGAATATTCCTGATTATGAAATATGTTCATATACAAATGTATTTCACAGGAGATAAACAATGTGGATTTATTTATAACCATAGTTCCAAAGGAGGCAAAAAATACTCTGGAAAAAAATCTCAAACCTCAGCTAAAATTCAGGAAATTCTATTGTTCACGATAATTTCAACATGATGAATATTAATAAAAATGTAGTTTTATACTAAACATAAGTTTTTTACAGACTTCAAAATCATCCATTATTTCTCAGATGTAAATAGAAACTTTCATACTTACAAAGTTATTAGATTTGTCATAGAATTGAATGAATTGGCATCAATGTCATCAATACTATTGTATGAAAGGTTTCTGAAAAAAAAGCAATTAAAACATTTTACAAAATATATGACACTTTAATGATAATATATAAAAAATGTCTTGAAATCTCAACAGTTTTTGAATAATATCACTGATGGTAACCTCTACAAGAAAATTTCCAAGAACCAATTTTTTTTTCAAAATGTATAATTACATTAGTGTCAGATCTGAATTTCTATAAATCTAAAAAAATGTTAATGTTTAAAATACATATTTTCAATCTTAAACAGAATAACATGTTAAAGTGCAGGAAACAACTGTTTCAGATCAATTGCTTAGTACTGTAATGAAAATTTAAAATGTTCCTTTATTACATATGAACCAGCATCAGTAAATCGTACATTTGGTAGGAGAAGGAAATGTGACATCAATTTGAACATTGAGATATCTGATCTTTCTCATGTTTTACAGCTGCAGAAATCCAAAGTGGACTTCTACTTCTATTCTGAGGCGATAAAGTTTGGTCAATAAGAAAAATAAAAAAAAATATACATCATAAATGTGATGTGTATTTTGTCTATCTGATTTATTTTTGCTTTTTTACCAGTATCAAAAGGAACTGTTGAGGTTTAAAATTAAATACAGTAATTATCAATTTTAAATTGTCAAAATTTACTGTGCCTTGTGTGAGAAAATATGAAATTTGCAAATGAAATAGTCTTTTCATTTAAACTTGTCTAGCTTATCCAAAGTATGGTGTTAGAAACGACTTTTGTAGGTATTACAGGGTACTTTATGACAATGTTTGGCTTGAGAAAGTAACATAACGGTGGTATGGTACTAACACGAGACCATCCGAGTGCCCATCAGAATCTCTTCCCTGCTAAGTACCATTAATGTATTGTTTGACAATGAGATATTTGTGATAAACAACTTATGGTTATTTCATCTGATGAAAAAATTATTTACTACATACTTTAACTAAGGTTCTATGTATCTAATCATGGAAATGTACTGCTGGTCAAGTACACATATTCGTCCCATGTTTTAATTTCTAGTGCCAGTGATAAAGATTAAAGTCTACCTTTTTCAAAGATTTCAAGAAAAGAGTCCGATATAATAAGATATCTTAACTGAACAATATCCTTAAAAGTTCAAAAATAAATGATTTGAGCACAAAATGGTGTCATCAGTAGAATTTGCTCTTAGTATTGCCTGCTTTGTCACGACAAAAATGTTTGGCATGTTGTGTTTCAGATTTTTAACTTCTCCTCTATATGTGAAATTTTCCAGAAGGTTTTTTCAGTCCAGAAGTGTAATAGAGCCTGAGGGTACCTCATAGAATGTGTTATTAGTCATACTGTATACATATAGACAATACACTGTGATCAGGAAAGGTATATTTCAAATAATATGATACATAATAGTAAGTGATACACAGCACAACCACATGATAATAAAGTTCTAGTCAGAACTGCAATTTATCCTGAAACAAGACAATTTGGTGAGATACAGTCCCCCACCAACACTGCACCTCACCAAGGCAAACCCATACTCACTATTCTTAGTTCCTGTGACATGCCCACAAAAACTTTTTCTTTTATGTAGGTCAAATGTCACAATGTAGGTCAGAGTGATCTACTTTGATATGCAACACAGTCTCACAAAGGTGAAATACAAATTCCACGTATTAATTTTCCATGATTATCAAATTTAGAAACTAGGGATCTTACAAGATAGCAAAAGGATGGAAGGACGGACAGACACAACACAAATCTATATTTTTCTCAAGTTCCTGATGGGGGACTAGTAAGCTCAGAGGGCCATCACATCACTTTTAATTCAAAGTCAGCATATGGGCTTATTACAGGACATCAAAACATAGTGTTTTATACTCAAAGCCAAGGTATGGGCTTAGTACAGGACACAGAAACATACCACTTCTAACTAAAAGTCAGGTTTTGGGCTTAATACAGGACAGGTCTAGCGCATTACCTGGGACTCAAAATTTGTAGTGTGGACTCAATACAGGACACCAAATCATGCCATTTCTGACTCAAAGTCAGGGTGTGGACTTATTACAGGACACCAAAACATATCATTTCTAATTCAAAGTCAGGGTGTGGACTTATTACAGGACACCAAAACATATCATTTCTAATTCAAAGTCAAGGTGTGGGCTTAATACAGGACAATGAATTAACATTGGTAGGTAATTCTACTGTTATCTCTTGATGGGTTATTTATAGACAGTAGGTTATTGCTAAATAAATATGGTAACACATGATATGATTGATGATAGTACACTTGTACTAATTTCCGGGTAGCACAAAGTGAATTAATCAATCAACACAACCATTGCTTTAGAACTGTTACTCGTAAAATAGAAGGTCCGGAGTAAAAACAAAAAAGAGTTCAAAATGTCTGAATTAGAGTTGCTTCCTCATTTACTATAGCACCGGATTTTAATCCTCTGATGTCTTAAAGTGAGAAGCTTATCTACACATGCTATTTAATAATACTTTGGGGCAACATTATAAGGACTAATTAGAAATGTTCCAACTAACTGAAAAAGCTTAAACTCCATAATGGTCATTGTAGAGTGACATAAATTTAATAAGG